GCCCCCCCCCCCCCCCCCGATATGGAGGCGCAACCCCTGGACAGGGATCTGTCATGCTGAAAAGTACCTTCTAAAACCCGAGCCGCCTCCTCTCCTAGCAAAGTGACAGCTCAGCATCGATTTGAATTTATTAGCATAATTATTTAAAGGTTAATGAAGTGTTTTATGGGGTAATTCAACCTGCTGTTTTTCCGGCTTCCTCCAGCGCCCCGTGGAAAAGCGGCGAGTGTCCGCTGGCATCGTTAGACCTCTGCGCGCCGGAACGGCCAGAGAGTGCCGTTGCGTGATCTCGGCTCGGCTGGGCGAGGCGGGAAGCTGTGCGCCGCAGGTCGCTGGCTGTGCCAGGATTCCTGGGGAGTGGCCAGTTACGGTTCCGTCCCCCGCGTCTCCGAGACGTAAACCTGCATGTCTTCTTTTAGAACAAAACCCCAAGAAGTTAAAACCTCCACCACACCACCAAGTTGTACTGTCAGGAAACCGAAACCTTTCCATCGTAATGGATCTGAACTGCTGGATTCAAGCCCTTGGAGACCACGCGGTTTTTGCTGTATAAGCTTTTGGGAGTTGAAGCCGCCTTCTGACAGACTCTTGAAAGGTCACACTTCAAAACTCTTGTTGGTCTGTAAGGTGCCATTGGTGTAGTGGTTAAGGGCAGGGGATGGTAATCCGGAGAACCGGGTTTGATTCCTCACTCCTCCACACGCAGCCAGCTGGGTGACCTTGGGCCAGTCACAGCTCTCTCGGAGCTCTCTCAGCCCCACCTACCTCACAGGGTGTCTGTAGTGGGGAGGGGAAGGGAATGTGATTGTAAGCCACTCTGAAACATCCAAGCCCCACTAGGGGGCGCCAGAAGTCTGCAGCCTGATAAAGGGCCAATATTAAAAACCTAGTGTATAATTGTGAGATACAAAAATACAGGTATGTATTAGAAAAACATATAAGGGCCCAATGAAAGCCTCGTTACCAAGTGCGAGTGACCTGAACACAAGGGCCAGTACCAGTGACCTGACACGTTTCCACACCTTAGGGGACTTCTTCAGAGGTCAAACAATTTAGGGATAGACAGGACCAGGGGTCATTTCCTGCGGGAGCGCACAGGAGCGGAGCTCCGACAGTAAGGAGCCCAGGGGGTGTGGCACATGCAACAAGCCCTGCCCCCTGCTCCCAGCAGCCTTTAGTTGGGCCACGAGGAGCAAGAAGCAGCCAGGTAAGTTGCAGAGCCCCCCTTCAGGTACAAGCTCGCCCTCCTCTGCGAGGACAGATCTGCACGTCTCTCCCCCCCCCCCAATAGCTAGCAATCCAAAACAGTCCAGTGGAGCCTGAGCGGTGGGTGTTGCCTTCTGACACACTTCCGGTGATGTCAGGGGGTGTGGCGTATGCAAATAAGTGATGCTAATGAGTTATGCTAATGAGCTCCTGCACCTCTTTTTCTACGAAATGACCCCTGGACAAGACACATATTACAATGAAATAAGAAACAATAAGTTGATACCGGACCAAAAAAGGAAAGCTGTAGAGAAAAGAATATTGAATACGAATAATGGTAAAAATGACCATATTATGTATTTCAGCAGCAAGGTTAATGGACACAACCATGACTTCCAGGCATGTATGCGCACATACACAAACACACAAACATTCAAAGAAAGGAAGGGCTGTTGTGTTCTGTATTAAGCGAACCACTTCCCGTCAGCGTTTGACTGACAGTGTCAAATTTGCAAAAAAAAATTTCATCTTAGCAGCTTTATACTGCATCCTTTTTGTGAAAAGAATAAAGCGGAGGTTCTCATTAAAAATAAATAAATGAAGGGGATGTCATTGTACAGCCCAAATCACAAAGAGTGATTAAGAAGAAGAGATTGGATTTATACCCTGCCCTTCACTACCCAAAGGAGTCTCAGAGCAGCTTACAAACGCCTTTCCCTTCCCCTCCCCACCACAGACACCCTGTGAGGCAGGTGGGGCTGAGAGAGCTCTTGACAGAAACCACTCTTTTTTGCCAAGAACAGCTCTTATCAGAACTACGGCTTGCCCAAGGCCATCCAGCCAGGTGCAAGCGGAGGCAAGGGGAATCAAACCCGATTCTCCCAGATTAGAGTCCGCGCATTTAACCACGACACCAAACTGGCTCTTAACACATGGAATTCACTGCCACAGGAGGTGGCGGCGGCCACAAGCATGGACGGCTTCTAGAGGGAATGGGGTAAACATATGGAGCAGAGGTCCATCGGTGGCTATGAGCCACAAGGGATAGATGGGAACTCTCAGTCTGGGGCAAGGGATGCTCTGTATTCTCGGTGCTGGGGGGGCAACAGTGTGTGGGGGCTTCTGGTGTCCTGGCCCCACTGCTGGACCTCCTGATGGCACCTGGTATTTCTGGCCACTGTGTGACAGAGTGTTGGACTGGATGGGCCACTGGCCTGATCACTGGCTTCTCTTATGTCCTTACATTCTTAACTTTAAATCCTAGGAAGGGCGGGCTAGAGCCGTGGTGTCCGTACCAGCCTGCCTCCTTGCAGAACGCCTGTGGAGTCACCTGCGTTCCCGTGGCAAAAGGCGGCTTGCCTCTTCCTTCCCATCAGGGCACCGGTGCTGACTCTCTTCCTCCCTTGCCCCTTCTTCAGGCCAGCATCTCGTCTTCCCAGCCGTGGCTCTCTGGGTCAGTGTGGGACTGGCCGTCTGCCTCCTCGTCCTCTTGGGCACCCTGGCCTACGTGTGTCAGAAGAAAATCCGCCAGAGCTGCAAAGAAGAGAAAGAGAAGGCTGGTAAGTGCGAGGGGCGGGCTCTGCCTCAAGCTTACCAGTTCGGTTGTCGTGGTGAAGTGCGCGGACTCTAATCCGGGAGAACCGGGTTCGATTCCCCGCTCCTCCACTTGCAGCTGCTGGATGACCTTGGGCAAGCCACAGTTCTGATAAGAGCTGTTCTTGGAAAAAAAGATCAGTTTCTGTCAAGAGCTCTCTCAGCCCCACCTACCTCACAGGGTGTCTGTTGTGGGGAGGGGAAGGGAAAAGAGTTTGTTAGCCCCTCTGAGACTCCTTCAGGTAGTGAAGGGTGGGGTATAAATCCAGTCTCCTCCTCCTCCTCTCCTTCCCCTTCTTCCTCTTCTCCTTCTTCTCCTTCTCCTTCTTCTCCTTCTTCCTCTTCTTCTTCTCCTTCTTCTCCTTCTCCCTCTCCCTCTTCTTCTCCTTCTCCCTCTTCTTCGCCTTCTTCTTCTTCTTCTTCTTCTTCTTCTTCTCCTCCTCCTCCTCCTCCTCCTCCTCCTCCTCCTTCTTCTTCTCCTTCTTCTCCTCCTCCTTCTTCTTCTTCTTCTTCTACTTCTACTTCTACCAGAGACAGAAACTGTGTAAAGGACAGCAGCTAGTAAGCTCCGAGTTGTTGTATCCTCACTGCAAGGCCCCACGGCCTGGGAGGAGGATGCAAAGGAAAGACCTGTATGGGTGGACTGGAGAGCCAGAGGTGCAGCCCTGGGGAGATGCTCCCAGGCTGCTCGACTCCTGCAGAGGAGGTTGTTCTGCCGTGCTGAAGCCACAATCGGACTGGCTCCGCCCACTCCCCTCCCTCAACAGCCTCCGGTTCACTCCCTTTGACTAGTTGCTCGCGGGCCACAGAAGAGAAGAAGAAGAGATTGGATTTATCCCCCGCCCTTCACTACCCAAAGGTGTCTCAGAGCGGCTTACAAACTCCTTTCCCTTCCCCTCCCCACAACAGACACCCTGTGAGGTAAAAGAAGAAGAAGAAGAAAAGAGATTGGATTTATACCCCGCCCTTCACTACCCAAAGGTGTCTCGGAGCAGCTTACAAACTCCTTTCCCTTCCCCTCCCCACCACAGACACCCTGTGAGGTAGGTGGGCCTGAGAGAGCTCTGACAGAAACTGCTCCTTTTTCAAGAACAGCTCTTATCAGAACCATGGCTTGCCCAAGGCCATCCAGCCAGGTACGAGTGGAGGAGTGGGGAATCAAACCCGGTTCTTCCAGATTAGAGTCCGCGCTCCTAACCACTACACCAAACACTACACCTGGACGGTTCCAGCCCTCGGGCCTTATGTTTGACACCCCTGGTTTAGAATGTGAGATCTTGAAACAAGAAGAAGAATTAGTTTTTATACCCTGCTTTTCTCTACCCTATGGAGTCGCAAGGCTTACCATCACCTTTCCTTTCTTCTCCCCATAATTTTCACCTTGTGAGGCCGATGGGGCTGAGAGAGTTCTGAGAGAACTGTGACTGGCCCAAGGTCACCCAGCAGGCTTCATGGGGAGGAGGAGTGGGGAATCAAGCCCAGTTCTCCAGATTAGAGTTCGCCACTCTTAACCACTACACCACGCTGGAACCCTGTCTTTCTTCTAAAATATGCACTGTCTTTCATGACGATGATGAAGAAGAGATTGGATTTATACCCCGCCCTTCACTTGGGGTCTGAGAGCGGCTTACCATCTCCTTCCCCTTCCCCTCCCCACAACAGACACCCTGTGAGGTAAGTGGGGCCGAGAGAGCTCTGACTGTGAACTGCTCTTAAGAGAACAGCTCTGAGAGAACTTGTGACTGACCCAAGGTCACACTAGCAGCTGCATGTGGAGGAGTGGGGAATCAAACCCGGTTCTCCCAGATTAGAGTCTGCGCTCCTAACCACTACACCAAACACCTAACCACTACACTGAAACTCACTTGCCTTTGGGGGTTTAATTTCTTCGAACACACCTGAAGCTGCCTTATACTGAATCAGACCATCAGTCCCCAGGGTCTCAGGTGGAGGTCTTTCCCGTCACCTACTGCCTGGTCCTTTTACCTGTGTATGAATCGTTCACCTTAGTTAATACACAACAGAGTTCAGTTTTTAAATTAAAAGTGTACTCTTGTATTTCTTGTTTGTAACATCACAGTCTTGCAACAACTTCCAAACTTTATACATATATTCCATTGGTACACATGTATACCATTCATACACAAGCAGGAAGCAAAATACTCCACCTTCGGTGGTGCTTTCGCTGCTTAACAACATTTCTGCATACAAAGAAGTGAATCAAGTATCCAGACCCAATACTGACCTTGCCACAAAATCTCATTCCGTACAATCACAGAATAGTTGGCCTTCCAGTAGAAACCACTTGTCGTCGTAAGTTAATAATGTGCCAAAAAGACCACGAGATTCCTAGGTTTCTTTCTCATTGTGTCAGCTGGATTAATATTAATGGCTCCAGTGATATTGTGATGTGCCACTGATTTGACGCATTCTGAAGAAGACTGTCTATTCTGTGACTGTACGGAATGAAATTTCATGGCAAGGACAGTATTGGCCCTGGATACTTGATTCACTTCTTTGTATGTAGAAATATTGTCAACATTGTCGGATGTTATTTTGCCTCCCGCTTGTGTATGAATGGTATATATGTGTATGAATGGAATATGCGTATAAAGTTTGGAAGTTGTGGCAAGGTTGTGGTGTTACAAATGAGAAATGCGACAAAACTCTCTTAATTTAAAAACCCAACTTTGTTGCATGTCCACTGAGGTGAACAATTCATACACAGTATTCATCTTGTGGCTTCTACTTACTATATTGTGTCCAGTGCTCCCTCTAAGCTGCGGAGTCATGTGAGCAAAAATTCTACTTTGTAAGCTACCGCATTCCTAACCACTACACCAGACTGTCTCTCGTGAACACATGAATGCACACGAAGCTGCCATATACTGAGTCAGAACCTTTGTCCATTAGTCAGTGTTGTCTACTCTGACAGGCAGCGGCTGTCCAGGGTCTCAGGCGGAGGTCTTTCACATCCCCCTACTGTCTGCTCCTTTGAACTGGAGATGCCGGGGACTGAACCTGGGACCTTCTGCATGCCAAGCAGGTGCTCTTCCACTGAGCCATGACCCATTCCCTGACAGACTTGAGCACGTGAAACTGCCTTCAGTTAAATCAGACCTTTTGGGTCCATCAAAGTCAGTATTGCCTGTTCAGGCTGGCAGCGGCTCTCCAGGGTCTCAGGTGGCGGTCTTTCACATCACCTGCTGCCTGGTCCTCTGAACTGGAGATGCTGGGGATTGAACCAGGGACCTTCTGCATGCCAAGCAGAGGCTCTTCCACTGAGCCAGGATCTCAGGTCAAGGTCTTTCCCATCACTTACTGCCTGGTCCTTTTCACTGGAGATGCCGGGGATTGAACCTGGGCCCTTCGGCATGCAAGCAGATGTTCTGCGACTGAGCCAGGGACTCAGGTCAAGGTCTTTCCCATCACTTACTGCCTGGTCCTTTTCAGTAGAGATGCCAGGGATTGAACCTGGGCCCTTCTGCATGTCAAGCAGATGCTCTAGCACTGAGCCAGGGACTCAGGTCAAGGTCTTTCCCGTCACCTCCTGCCTGGTCCTTTTCACTGGAGATGCCAGGGATTGAACCTGGGCCCTTCTGCATGCCAAGCAGATGCTCTAGCACTGAGCCAGGGACTCAGGTCAAGGTCTTTCCCGTCACCTACTGCCTGGTCCTTTTAACTGGAGATGCCGGGGATTGAACCTGGGGGCCTTCGGCATGCGAGCAGAGGCTCTTTCCACTGGGCCAGATCCCCTGGGGCTGTCTGAAAACTAGAGTTTGCAGAAGAAAGGTATGGAATGAATCTCTTTTTCCTGAGACAGGTTAGTCTAATATCGATCCTCTCCTTCTCGATGGGAACTGCTGAGCAAGTCAGTTGTGAAATGGATGTCCGCCCCCCTCCCTTCCCAACATAAAACACAAAGAAAAGAAAAGGCCAGATCATTTGTTGTGGCGGGACTTTTCCCGGTGCCAGAGGCCTCTCCATCACACGCATGAATTCATGTGCCTGACACCACAACTCTGGTGGTTCTCAAAGTCCTGCCGGGATAAACGTTTTGGTCTTTGAGGTCCCGCTGGGCGCCTCACTGCTCACTCAGTGGAACGCGTGGCTCTTCGACAGGCCACCTGTGGTTCTTCTGGGCATCGTTCGCCAACGTGTCGCCTGCCCCGTGTTTCAGGAAGGTGGGTGTGGTTCTTGCCCAGTGGGGCTTGTGATTGGCAGGTGGTTCTCGCCTTGAAACAGCCGCTGCCTGAGGAATGGGTGGGCTGTGAGCCCCTCTGAGGTGTGCCGGCCTCATGCCAGGGATGGAAGTCAATGTGGCTTTTTGGGTTGGGGGAAAATGGAGAATGTGGCTGCCCATAAGGTTGCATGTTGGCTGTTTCTTATTTTAAAAATATTTTTAAAAATCTTTGATTTGCCCTGACCCTGGATAGCCCGGGCAAGCCCGATTTTGTCACATCTCGGAAGCCAAGCAGGGTCGACTCTGGAAAGTACTTGGATGGGAGACCTCCATGGAATACCAGAGGCAGGAGGCGAGGGGGCAGGCTTTGTTCAGCCACCTCTCTGGATATCCTCCAGGCCCCCAGTAGGGGTCACTCACCAGAGGACTCCATGACTTCCAGGAGCCCACACATGCACATATTAAAAAAAATATACCCAAAAAATGCAAAAAAAATAATAATCTTTGATTTGTGTCTTTCTAGGGGAACAAGAGGACGGAGAAGGATCCAAGACAGGTTAGTCTGACGCTGATTCTCTTTTTCCTGAATGGGAACGGCCGCGCACATGCGTCCTTGCAGTGATTCCTTCTGCCATAGCTCGAGCGCCATCACGCATAAACATCTGGCCACATGTACAGCTGCATCAGACCGTTGGTTCCTCGAGCTCGGTATGGTCTGCTCTGACTCCCGGCAGATCTTCAGAGCCTCAGGGCAGAGAAAGCGGTTTCCTGGCAGCTTTTTAAACGGCAGATGCCAGGGATTGTACCACAGATCTTCCTGCATGCATGCAAAGCAGGTGCCCGGGCGCTCCGCTGCAGCCCAGGTACCTCCCACCCTGGGCCGATATTGTCCTGCAGCTAAAGAATTCTCTCGTGCCCTGCTGCAAGCAAGCAGCCAGGCAGGCCCGCGATAAACGGGATTATCATTTTAATAAAGCGTGATAGCTGCACTCTGCTGTAATCAAACGGATTAATTATAAGCTTGGCAATTCCCTTTATCTGCTCCGAGCACGACAATAAGCGCAGCGCGCCTGGGTTGGCTGGGTTTTAATCTCGCCTCGGGAAGGCAGGAGCGGCGGGCGTTACGGTCTACCTGGCATGACGGGACCGGCGCCGGCTGCGGGATTAGGTGCAAACGGAGGGTGACGTCGGTGAAGGCGTTCACTGAAACGGTGGATTGTTCTGGGTTCTTCAGGGGGAACCCGTGGGCAGCATTGCACCCCGTCAGTGCCTCCACTCGTGCCCACTGAGCTTTTTGGGAAGTGGGTGGAACCGCTGCAAGGCAGGGCTCGTTATTGGCTGCCCTCATTCCAATTAAAGGGTTTTCCAGCCAATGGAGGACTGGGGTTTCCCTTAGCCAGTGTGAGGTTCCATTCCCCTTTCTGGCTTTCCTTTCCTTCTTTTTGTTAAATTCCCGGTCTTCTTTTTCTCTTTGGGTTTTCCTTCATTGTTTAGTTTTCAGATATTTCTTCAACTCTGGAGGTTTCCCCAGGCTTGTAGAAAGTACTCTACCCTACCCCTCGGCAGGGGTCATTTCGAAGAAAAAGAGGTGCAGGAGCTCATTAGCAAAACTTATTAGCATATGCCACACCCCCTGACGTCACCGGAAGTGTGTCAGAAGGCAACACCCACCGCTCAGGCTCCACTGGACTGTTTTGAGCTAGCTATTGGGGGGGGGGGGAACGTGCAGATCTGTCATCGCAGAGGAGGGTGAGCTTGTACCTGAATAAACTTCGTCTTAAAACTGCCACTGGACTGTTTTGGATTGCTAGCTATGGGGGGGATGCGCAGATCTACCCTCACAGAGGAGGGAGAGCTTGTACCTGAAGGCGGGCCGGTGGGGGGGCCTCTGCAACTTACCTGGCTGCTTCTTGCTCCTCGTAGCCCAACTGAGGGCTGCTGGGAGCAGGGGGCGGGGTTTGTTGCATGTGCCCACCCCCTGGGCTCCTTACTGCCAGAGCTCCGCTCCTGTGCGCTCCCGCAGGAAATGACCCCTGCCCCTAGGTAGCCCCGCATCCCTTTTGTGAGTTTTTCAGTCTGCACTTGGGAATTAAGGTGAGGTAAAAGTGTGCTGTTGAGTTGCAATGTGATTTATTTACGCCTCGTGGTGTTTTCAAGGCAAGAGACGGGCGCAGGTGGTTGGCCGTTGCCTTCCCCTGCATAGCAGCCCCCGTCTGCCTTGATGGCTTCCCTATCCGAGTACCAAAATCCTGTCTACCTTCCAATCTCTAGCGAGATCACGCTAATCTTGGCTATTAGGGCTCTTTAAGGTTGCCTTGGGGAACCATGGTGGCTCAGAGGTTAAGATGCTGTGCTGCAGACCAGAAGGTCTGTAGTTCGGCAGTTCGAGACCCCAGTGCCGCGTGACGGAGTGAGCTCCCGTCTCCGGCCCCAGCTCCTGCGAACCCAGCAGTTCGAACGCAAGAAATGGCAAGTAGATAAATAGGTACCACTTCGGTGGGAAGGCAACAGCGTTCTGTGTGCTTCGGCGTTTAGTTATGCCGGCCACATGACCACGGAAGCGTCTTCGGACAGCGCTGGCTCTTTGGCTTGGAAACGGAGATGGGCCTAGAGTCAGATTTGGCTGGCTTTCGAGCAAGGGAAACCTAAAGTTGCCTCGACTGGGAGGTTCTTTTGATGTCCTAATTTTAAGCTTGGGGCTTGTGAAGGAGGAGCCACTCGATGATGATGATGCGTACTTGGAGGGCGAGTTAAAGGCTGAGGGACCTCTTAGAAGAAAGTATCGTGGAGGGGTCCCCAGCCTAATTAAGGCTGCATGTATGTGGCCTTAGGAGATGAGCAATCCAGTTTGGTGACAGAGACAAGGTACTCATGGGGGGAAAGTGTGTCTCCAGAGGACTGGAAGGGGGGGGGGGGAGAAAGGCAGCCGGAGTTGCCACTGTCCACCAGAGAGCGGTAGAACACTTGTTGAAGTTGGCTGTTTCGTTAGGGGTGGGGTGTGTGCTGTGTGGTGTGGCAGGAGTTCATGATATCTGATAGAAGCTCGGAGCAGCCCAGTCGCTCAGTGTCCTCTTCTTTAGCCCATTTTGCTCAGAGTTGTGCTCTAGGGGGCCACTAATCTGTGTGTGTTTTTTTGTCTCTCCCCCCTCCTTTCTCTGACAGCTTTGCAGCCTCTGAAGAACATGGAAATCAAAGAAGGTAAAGATAGAGATGTGAAGGCCCAGAAAGAAACCGGGAAAATTTGGGGGGGAAAACAATTCCATGGAAGTGGTGACGGCTACAAGCATGGACGGCTTCAAAAGGGAATTAGATAGGCATATGGAGCAGAGGTCCACCGGTGGCTATTAGCCACAAGGTATAGATAGGGACTCTGGGGCAAGTGATGCTCTGTCTTCCTGGTGCGGGGGGCGGGGGGTCAACAGTGGGAGGGCTTCTAATGTCCTGGCCCCACTGGTGGACCTCCTGATGGCACCTGGTATTTCTGGCCACTGTGTGACACAGAGGGTGCGTTCAGACGCGGCGTTTCAGCCGGCATAAACTGTACCGGTTGGATCCGGTGCAGTTTATGCCGGATGAAACGCGATCACACTTACCTCCATTTTGCGGATCCCATTGCTGTATGCCCGCTCACACGCTGCATGCGTCGGCTTTTTTTTTTAAAAACTCAGTTTGAGCATGCGCATAGGCAGCCATTCACAGAATGGCGATCTTTGCGCATGCTCAAAACACCCCATATTACATTTAAACTTTAAAAAAAAATGGCTAAGTTTGCGTTTTTTTCCAATTTTTCCAAAAATTTCCGTCCCCCCCCCCCCCGAAAACCCCCGGGGGAAACCAGTTTTTCCCCCCAAGCTTCAAAATTTCCAGAAATTTTACATCTCTAGGTAAAGAACGTTCGTGCCTGGCGGAGGTGAGCCCCTTCACTTCTGCAGCAAAAAAGATATGGGTTCAATCCTACGCTCACGGCCAGTTCTGCAGTTTTGTGAACCCCCCCCCTGACGATGCAGTTTCTGGGAACTCTCCCCCGGCCCACCCTGATGTTGTGAGCATCGGGAAAGTTCTATTGCAGGAAGTCCGGCGCTAGGAACTCACGTCGCTAATGTTGTCGTGCAGATGCAGAAATACCTGTGCCACGATATAATGGGTGTGGGATCTCTCAGAAGGAGGGCAGCAGTTATGGAAGTTGCTTGTGGGCCTCGGGGTGATCTGTGCCTGCCTGTTAAGCAAGGTCGGGACCCATGGAAGTGGTGGCAGCTACAAGCATGGACGGCTTCAAAAGGGAATTAGATAAGCATATGGAGCAGAGGTCCATCAGTGGCTATTAGCCACAAGGTATAGATAGGGGCTCTGTCTTCTTGGTGCTTGGGGGGGGGGGTCAACAGTGGGAGGGCTTCTAATGTCCTGGCCCCACTGGTGGACCTCCTGATGGCACTGGTATTTCTGGCCACTGTGTGATACAGAGTGTTGGACTGGATGGGCCTTTGGCCTGATCCAACATTGGCGTCTCTTATGTTCCTGTGTTCATATGGAAGCGGCTACATTAGGTAGTTTTATTCTGTTAGTGCTCGACCCATAGGGTAGGTTTCAAGAAACCTTGGAACCCCAGCGTTTCTGCATCAGCCCCCTTTACCTTGAGGGGGCAGTTCCGGATAGCAGCTCCGTCACTTCTTGGGGATGAACACCAAAGAATTACACCCGGGGATGTCTTTCCAGGGTTCAAATTGCCAGTTGCTTCAACAACCAAGGAGGGGATCAAAATCCGCAATGGGATTTGGCAGTTTGTATCCTAACCCTTCCCTTCTTTCCCGCGGCGTGTCTTTTATGACCTAGCGTGGTCCTCCTAGGCTAGGAATGTGCTCTGCAGAAACAGAAGAAGGGGTTAGGACCCACAGCAGTTCTTCCAATGGCGGGATTACAGTGATCACGAAGGTCTTGCATTTAGAATCATGGGATCACAGAGTTGGAAGGGGGTCCATACAGAGGCCATCTAGTCCAACCCCCCTGCTCAATGCAGGATCAGCTCTAGAGCATCCCTAATGTGCTTTTCCAGCCGCTGCTTACTGACTGCCAGTGAGGGGGAGCTCACCACCTCCCCAGGCAGCCGATTCCACTGTTGAAGAACTCTTCCTGTAAAAAAGCTTTCCTTAATATAGTTTCCCACCCTTAATTTAAACACATTATTGCGAGTCCTGACCTCTGCTGCCAAGAGGAACAGCTCCCTGCCCTCCTCTGACAGCTCTTCAGATACTTCGAAGAGAGCCATCCTGTCCCCCCCTTAGCCTCCTGTTCTCCAGACTGAACACTCCCAAATCCCTCAGCCTCTCCCTGTAGGGCGTGGTCTCCAGGCCCCCCAATCATCCTCGTCGCTCTCCTCTACAGCTGCCCCATTCTGTCCACATCCTTTTGGGAGTGAGGCCTCCGGAACTGCACACAGGACTCCAGGTGACTGAATCCAAAAAGAAAACGGAATACTCTTGACTGAATTCAGAAAGATGGCTGTTGGTCATAAAAAGCTGGGGTCCTCTGTCCGCAAAATATATCTTCTGCCGAGATAGCCCCTCCTCCTGTTAATTTCGTTTGAAAGAAAAAGAATTATGAAGTACTCTGGACTGGGCCTTTGACAGCAAGCAGTTGGATAAGATTGAGAGAGGCAGTACACCCAAATGCCGGAGGCGTAATCAAAGACGTGAGCAAAAATACAAATCTACTAGGTTAAGAGGATAGGTTGCATGCCAATGTCGTGAGGTTTGGAAGCCCTTGGGCTCATGGGAACATAAGAAGGGCCCCGTGGGATCAGGCCAGGGGTCCTAATCTGGGACTCTAATCTGGGAGAA